ATCATGGTTTTGGACGAAGCGATGGCTCACGTGGACGGAGAGACACAGAATATCATTCACAACACCGTCAGGAATGCCTTCAAAGACTGCACTGTCATTACAATCGCACACCGATTGGCAACCGTTCAGGACTGCGACCGAGTTATGGTTATGAGCGATGGAAAGGTATTCTTTGGGATCTATTATTCATTTCATTTCATATATTCATTGCATTTATTTCTATAAAGATTGTGGAGTTTGATAAGCCATCGGTTTTGGCCGCAAATCCGGACTCATTTTTCTATCAAATGATTGCAATTAATCAAAATTAACACCAAATCATTATTAACAGAGATATTCTCGCAAAATGCTTTAATTTAAGTACTTATCACATCTTATATCAAATATTAAGATCATAAGGAATACAAACTTTTAGATATACTTCTAAATGAGATTTACTTTGAATTTTTAAAGTTAACAATTATAACGTGGTACAATAAATATGTGTAATCTTTTGCAGTATGATCACATATTTATAATAAGTTACTGTAGCTTGGTCAGATATGTTTTCCACTTTAAATGGAAACCCTAAATTAATAGTATACTGTATATTAAGGAGAATTATTTAAAAATAATTTTAGAATACTTACTACAGTATAGTAGTTAATAGAAACCAACAAAAGTAATGAATAAATTTATTTAAGAAAACATACAAATTTTTATTTTATAATATTTGATAACTTAATAAATATAATTACGTTTATGTTTGTGACTTGTGAACAACTTTTATGGGTTTGTTATTGTAAGACAAAATTATTTGAGAATATTTTTATTCAAATAATGTTGCATTTATTGAATAAATCAATTTATTGTCAACTTTAATTCAAACATAACGTATATTTTATTAGATTCTTGTCGTTTGACATTTCTGTTACAAAATATATAAATAATAATTTATGAAACTGTAAAACAAAGTTTCAAATAAATTCTCAATGTTTTAGACTTAATTCTTCACTGTTTTACAACAATATTTTTTTGAAGTTTTATAAAATACAATAATTTAAACTAATTAAAAATATAAATATAAACAAAACCTGAAATAATAATTTTATTAAAAAACATGTAAACTATAGATGGGTTTCTTCGTACGTTTGCATCACTTCTATTGAGTTTAAGTCATTTGGAGTTAATATAATTGAATTGCAATTTCGAGAGTTTAATGAATTCATTGTACAAGACTTAGAGGTAGAATATACACCTAATTAAACAAAAATAAATAGATTATAATAAAATTGACAAAATAACATATTAAAGCTATGTCTCCACTGCTGGTTTGAGCACCTTTACCCTTAATTGTGAAAACCTGTAGCGCGTCTCTAAACTACATTATTTGTACTCAGAAGTGTCAATATGGATAACACGTGTTTATATTGAATGTTATTACATTGAATTGGGATTTATTATAATTTAATTATAGAAATATTAGAATATGATAAATGCGGGTCTACCCCAAAAGACCTCAACTTAAATAACTAACTGGCCAATGGACATATTTTTAATTTGATAAGTAGAATAGACGTGTCCTGACCTCACCTAACTTACCATAACCAAAATGAAGCCAAATGACCACTGGGCAGTTAGTTATTTAAGTTTAGGTCTTTTTGGTTTTAGGTCTTTTAGGCGAGTCCCGATAAATGCTTATAAATCAGATTTAATGGTAATAACCAATTGTAATCAAATGTGAGTGCATCAATATTTAAGTATCTGTTCTTATGAGCTTAATATCTGATACTATTTTTTAATTTAATTTAATTCGTCAGTACAAGAAACGAAGGTTTACAATGAAACCAAGTTATCAAAATACTGGTTGCTTTCAAGTACGCGTACCAAAGTTAACAGAACACGTGTTTAAGGTATTATTATTATTATTATTATTATTATTATATTTTAAACTATTTTTGTGTTCATTTTAGGAAAACTTTCCAATGAAACGGAAATCATTTTATTGGATCGTTGATAGATTATATAATGATATAATAACGGTCTTGGGTCATTTGACCTACAATACCTACAACGTTAAATATTTTCAAAATTTAGATTTTGGACACACGCCCTTCTCGTAGAGTTAATGTATTTCTATGGGAATTTCGACGTTTTTGGACACACCCACTAACGGAAGTCGTTGATTTGACCTACAGTTGATTTGACCTACAAATGTTGATTTGACCTACAAAGATTTGAACTACAAATGTTGATTTGACCTACGTTGTTTTGACCAACAATGTCGTTATTAAATTGTTACCCCCAACACACAACTCTACAACGGAATATCGGATTGAAGCCGGGTTTCCCCGTAGGAATGCCAACTCCCTATGGGAAGTTGGTGTTTCTACGATAGAATTGGGGTTTCCCCGTAGGAATGCCAACTCCCTATGGGAAGTTGGTGTTTCTACGATAGAATTGGGGTTTCCCCGTAGGAATGCCAACTCCCTATGCGGAGTTTGTGTTTCTACGATGGAATTGGGGTTTCACACAAATCAATGGTATTCGGTCATTTGATCTACGGGACATTTGGGTTCCCTATCAAAAGACCTAATTTTGATCAAAAAACCCAATTTTGATCACAAAACCAACAAAAAACCCAAAAACCCAATTTTGATCATAAAACCCAAAAAACCCAAAAACCCAAAAACCCACCACGTATACAGTACTGTCACAACTGTCACTATTGGTCCTCCCAATACAAGTGGAAGAATATAAACCATATGAAACACTTTATTCATGTCCACTGCAAACAGATTAACAGTTTCTCCGATTGTC